CCCAGCCCCCAGTCAATTATTGTATTGAATAAATTTGATATAATTTGTAACTTTGACATTTGTCATTTCTATATTCCTATCCTATAAAAATTAATGAAAAAGATGCAGTTTTTTGTCATCCTATATTGAAATAATTGTACTGAGAAGTGATTAAGGCTAGTCCTCCCCAGGCCCAAGGCAGGTGGCATTTGCATCTCCAGCCCTTTAAAAACAAAAATTTTTGAGACAAGATCTCAAGACACTAACTTGTCCAGGCTGGGATCAAACTTAATATTTTCCTCCCTCAGCTTCCTGGAGTACTGGAGTTACAAGTGTGTACCACCATGCCCAGGAGTCAGGCTAGTCTTAATATCAGAGTGTGTGTGTGCCTATTTACACCATAATGAAAAGCCGTAGTCATTCTTTTTTTTGAGAGGACCTGGGAATTGAACTCAGGCCTTTGCACTTGGCAGGCAAGCACTTACTCTACTGAGCTATCTCCCTGGCCCCCTTAGTCATTCTTTGTCTCAGTTTCTTCATTTATGAAATGAGGTTGATGAACAGATATTTGCCAAAGACCTTTTTGGGATCAGATTCCTACCTAAGGTTTTTTGATACCAAAACATTGTGATTTATAGTGAGAGATTGATTGGGTGTGTATATGTCTGATTGGAGTAGGAAAGCAAAATGTATGGACTGTGGTTAAGAATAAGATGGTAGGAAAGAAAAAAAGGGAGGGGGAATGCAAGGGTCTGATAGGGATATATATATATATATATTGCCCTCCAGTTGACCATAGCTCAGGCTGGCCTCAAATTTTTGGTGATCCTCCTTCTCCGGCTTTCCAAGTACTGGAATTACTGGCATGCACCACTATGCCTTGCTCATAGATGTAAATTATATAACTAAAGAGGGCCTGAAATACTTATAACAGCGTAGAATTGGAATGTTGTTGATATGAAACCTGACCTTTGAGTGGGGTTATCCCTGCCTGTTACCCCATTTACTAGGGAGCATAAGGCAGAAAGAGCACAAGTTCAAGCAACTTAGTGCTCTTAGTAATCTGGGCAACTTAGTGAGACCTTTTCTCAACAATAATTTTTTAAAGGACTGAGGATAAATACTACCGTGCCCAGCGTGCAAGGATCTGGGTCTGATCCTTAGCACCACCAGACAGACTGTCATAACCTCTGTAATCCTATTCCTCAACAGTTGCTCATTATTGTAGACTATACTATTCTCTTTGAAGTTTAGTTTAGTTCTGTATGAAGTGAAGGTTTCTGGGATTGCCTCATCATAAATTTGATATTGATATGGAAAAATGTTTATCCTTCCTTCTCTTCTCGGGAAAGTTAATCCCCTTTGGTTTCCTAAGAAATAACTCTTGGAATGTAACTTTTATTAGTTTCTTGTTTACACTTCTAAAATCAGTCTCTCTTGATAAATACTGCTTTGCCATAGTATATTTTTAGTTCGAGACTATTTGAGAGGAAAAAGTGTAATTTTTGTAATGGTGGTTAATACAGCAAACAGTGACTGCTTTTCTTGATATGATAGCATTCAGCAGAAGAGATAAAATCTAATAAAATCACATGCTTGTAGAACAGCTTCTGGTTTGATAAGAAAAAGTTTCCATTTATGTATTCTTTTGATACGGTGTATTTTTCATGTAATTCCAGAATCTTAATGCTAAAGGAAATTTCAGAGGCCATTTGTTGTGAATGTCCACTGTCCACTTGATCCTGGAAATCGCCCTTTAGTTTTTCTAACAGAGCCACATTTCAGTGGCCCTAACTCTATGTTCTTATCCATGCCAGAAGTGTCTACCAGTAAGCCAGAGCCCCCTGCTGGGCGTTGGAGGTTCTTCAGGAACTTTTGACCTAATAGCAAGAGAGTTTGTAGGGTCTTTTTTGTCCTTGAGTTGATCAGATACTCCAGTGTTCAGTGTGCAGATTTCATGTGTTAGAGCTAACAGTAATACTTAAAGATTTATTTGAGGATAGTTGGCTTTTGACTCAGCACAATGTGATGTCCTTAATGGACATCCCAGAACCTGTGGACACCTTGAATTTGAGCTCTATCACATTTATTCCTTGTCCTCTGCTCAGTATAAGCCAGGATGGAATGATCTTGAGAATCTTTATCTGACTCAATGTTTCTATGGATTTCTCCCCCTCCCCCAGTTTCACTCTCATCAGCTGTTTCACATCTTTGTGGTTGCTGGAGCTTTCGTTCACTTCCACGGTGTCTCAAACCTGCAGGAGTTCCGTTTCATGATCGGTGGAGGCTGCACTGAAGAGGATGCACTGTGATACTTACATGTAGTCAGGGACTATGACCCTGTACCCAGGCCTGCAGCAGCAGCAGCAGCAGCAGCCGCGGCAGCAGCACAACAGCAGCAGCAGTAGCAGCAGCAGCAGCAGTGGCAGCGGTGGCAGCAGCAGCAGGACTCTCTGCTGGCCACTGATGGCAGTATCAGAAGAGCCCCAAAACTTTGACAGCCTCATGGGCTTTGTCACAACCCAAGGGCTCCACGTGGTACACAACTGAGAAGAGAAAAACAAAAATAAATCATACCTCAAAGGATGGAGTGCATCAATTTAGGAGGAAAGAAGTGGCCCATATTCTGACTTATTCTTGGGACCTGTCCACTGAGGGCTCTGTAGAACCCTCGGCAAACTGGCTTCTGATCCATATCATATTTATTTGTGGAAGATGGGGAAGCAATTTAGCTGGTGGTTCTTTCTTCTCTCTCCTAAAACAACAATATAAACCAATTAAGGTGAACATTTATATCCAGTTAAGGGGCAGGAATGTGATTTTAGATGTTCTTTTAAGGGGAAAAAAGAAATTAATGTAAATAAGATTTCTAACTTACTGTTTAAATAAAAATTTATATAAATGTTTAAAACATAGGGGTAGGGTAGGGAGGGAGAATTTTTGTATAGAATGAAACATGCAAGTACCACACACTGTTTCAATTTTGCACAAAGTGTGACTGGAGGAAGGTCAGGCAGCAGCCCCAGAATGTACAGTGTCTTGGTGCACCAAGGTGCCTTCCAGAGGCTGACACACATACCGTGACCCCAGCAGGGCAGAGACTGTAGCCCCTGCCTGGTGACAGGGCACCTCTCAAATCTGAGAGCCTTTGGGGATTCTAGGCAGAGGTAGAGGGAAGTGGTGTGTGTTTCCTCAGTGAATGGCTGACAAAAGGTAGTAGATGAAGGCTGTAGGTGAACTGTTGTTTGAGTGTCTGGTAGGCTCACAGTGACCCTTTCTAAGGCAGAGCCACTTAGTCCTGCGTTAATGCTGGAAAAGACAGTGGAGACATAGAGGAACCCTAGGACATTAGCACAGGGACTTGTCTGGTCACTTCGTGACACCCTGTTGACTTGGTGGCACATATGGGACTAGAGAAGTAAGAACAGTTTTCTGTATGCTTGCCGTGGAGTTCTGGCCTGGCTGGTACATTTCCGTTGAGAATCACTGCCCTGACTACCTTCTTCCTTGTGGAACTGAAATTGTCTTACCCTTACGTTGCAGTTCCTAAGATTCTAACTTGCATGGGTTGCTCTTAAGTCACTCTCCTAGGTTGGGGAGAGCCCAGTCTTTGGACAAGGAAAGATGAGTATCACCTCTGGTACACGTCTTGGTGAACCTAATGTAACAGGCACCTCTGCTATCCTTGCACAAAAAGCCAGAACTCTGTAGGCCTATCATGGACCGGCACCACAGCACAGCAGCCCCACTGAGCCTCCTCTCCCCACTGGGCAGAGTTTAATAGGAAACTGGATATCGTTGCCAGCCCATCTGGTAGAATCCTTAAGTCTGGTTTTGAATTGCTACTAGAAATGGAAAGTGATTGCTCTTGTCCCAGGGCCACCTTATTTGGTGTCAGGGAGAATGGTGGGAGCAGGACTGGCTTGTGGAATCCTGATACATGCTTGTGGGTGAGCTCCCAGCATAGCACTGCAGTCTTCTCGGGTTACTGCCTGCCACTTCAGGTGGTTTATTACATCTTGGGGATGGTGGGTATGAGAAGTAGGCAGCAGCTTTGGCATCCTCACAGCAATGCCAGGGGATGTGCAGAGTGTCCTATTCAGTAGTTCGATTCTTCCTCTGCCCTTCAGATCTGCAGCCATACCTGGGATATAGACCTCAATGTAGAACTAAGAGAGATAATTTAGGAATATTTGGTGGTTTTAAAGGTCACTGCCATAGGCAAACCAAGCAGAAGTCTGACAGTTCCTGACAGAATGGAGAACAGTATTAACCCCTTGAGAAGCAGCCCAGCAGGAGAGTGGCCACGGGAAGGAAGCTGCCTTAGTTTCATGGGAGCAGCAGCACATATCAGAAGCCAGACTTGCTCTTTGGTCACACTTCGGGGTACAGGGTATGAGGTACAGCCCTGTAACAATACCCACAGAAATGGTAGTCTTTGGGCCCAGTCACCCCACACCCCAAAGCAGGAAGAATCTGGTTGAACAGCACAAACCCTTAGGGAACATAAAACCAACACCACCAGTGCGTAATCCAGTAAACTCCCCCACTCCGGTGTGTGTGTGGGCGCGTACGCCCATGTATGTGTGTCTCTGTGCAGCTCACTACCAGCAGCCTCAACGTGCACTTGACCTCACAGTGCCTGCTGAGAATCTCACCAGGTTGGCGCCTGAATGCCTTACTCTCAGCAGCCTGAGGCTTGCTTGCTCTGTGCAGATTTTTAATTTTCCTTTTTAGCCCTGGGCTGGTTAGGACCTCTACTGCTTCATTCTTTCACCATTAAATAGTGGCCTTTTTCAGTATTCTCCCCCTCCCTTCCCTTTTATAAATTGCCGAAGCCACAAAGCACATTTTGGGGGATCATAGGAAGCTGGGTATCAAAACGGCGTCTGTGTGATGGTTCCATTCGCCATGGGATTTCCCTATTTGCTGTATTCTCAATTTCTCTAATAAAAAGAGCCAAACAGAATTATGAACTTTTGTTGTGCTTTTCTTGATTTTTTTTCAGCTTTCTTCCCTTTAACTTCCAGCACATCCTTGAAGCCCTCTTTTAGATGGTAAAGTTTAAGCAGTGTTCAGAGCTTCCCACTCTTGAATGCACAGATCCCCCTGCTCATCGTTCTCAGTGCTTGGACTTTCTGTAACCTGAACTAGGTTTAGGATGAAAAGGAAAGTGAACTCTGAGGGGTCGTTCTCCCTTCCTTCAAGTGTATGAAAGTAAAGTAAGGGGTTTTGCCTGAGGGCTAGACTGCTTACCCAGCATGTGTGAGGTCCTGGGTTCCATCCCCAGCCCTGGGAATTATTATTATTATTATTATTTTTGACAGAACCGGGGATTGAACTCAGGCCCTTGCACTTGCCAGGGAAGGGCTTATTCTACGGAGCCATCTCCCTGGCCCCAAAAATTAAAATTTTAACAAAAACCTAATGCAGTGAATGGCTTATGTCAAGTTGTGTTAGAAAACCATTTGTTCCCTCATCATAGCAACTTTGTCCCCAGTGAGTAGTATATTCACTCATTTTATTGGATTGTTTATTTATTTATTTATTTTGCAGGACCAGGGATTGAACTCAGACCCTTGTGCTTGCCAGGCAAGCGCTTATTCTACTGAGCCATCTCCCTGGCCTTTCACTCATTTTATAGATCTGGACATTGAAACTTAGTATGTCTGATTCCAGTATTATTGGAGAAGAGTATTATCCAGTATTACTGCAGTATTATTGGGAAAGAGTGAAAAGTATTTGAAGAGAAAACTGCTTCCTCTACTTGATTTTATGGTTTTAAGTAGTTACATTTTTTTGTTTTATTTTTTTGAGACAGGGTTTCACTATGTAGTTGAAGCTGGCCTTGACTCAGTATGGAGCCCAGGCTGGCCTCAAACCTGGAGCCATCCTCTGCCTTGGCCACCCCTGGCTGAAGTCTCATGTATAATGACCTTAGTTTTGGGGGAGTTTGTTAAACTGGTCTGTCTTGTATCATTTAATGTGAGGAAGCCTCAGTCCCTTTGCCTTCCGTAAATGTAGTTTTCTCAGGAGAATTTCCTCAGTTGGGCTTATTTTTTATTTATTTTTAATTTTTTGGCGGAACCAGGGATTGAACTCAGGCCCTTACGCTTGCCAGGGAAGCGCTTATCCCACTGAGCCATCTCCCCAACCCCTAGAATTTCCCCAGTTGGATATGCCTATTGTACATTCTCATTTTAAAGTACAGATACAACTAGAGTCTCTTCAAAAGTTACCTGGGTGTGAGATGCTGGACTACATTCAACTGTAGAGAAGGTAGCCGAGGTCCGTGGATAGCCCACATTGGTTTCCTGGCATCTCGCCGCCAGCTGCCCACACTCCCTGCTCAGGTGATGTCCCTGGATATTTTAGAGAAGGCAGATGAGGACGCATTTATAATTTGGCTTTATAGAGTGCCAGGCGCTGGGCACCTCCCGAGGGTCCTCTGGACGATACTGCTTTGAAGTTCCCCAGAAACAGCATCCCTGAGCGCTGTGCATGAGGTGTGTACCGCCTTTTGTCCTTTCCTCTCTGGGCATGAGCTTTTTGTTCATCACTCGTGTCTCTGGCTGTACTAACCTTTCCTGCTGGCAGCTTTAACTTGGTGAGGAAAGAGGCCAGTTGGCTCACACAGCTGCTGCTTTATGGCGTGGCTCTCACACAGCCTGGTCGCTGCATCCCACATCCCTATGTTCCCTAGCAATGAGGAGAGGTAGGTTCGTACCCCGCTTTGCCATGTAACATGGGCAAGAAGTCATTTGCTTCCTGGCCTCAGTGTCTCACTTGCCAAAAACAAAAGGCCTAATAGTAGCTTCCTCGTGTCCTTCACTGACATGCTATGGCCCTACAGGTAACGTTTCTCAGACCTATTCTGTGGCTGGCATTTCTGCCAAGGCCTTGCTCTAACTCGTTTTGTAGTTTTTGCCAAGTCATTGTGTGCTTTTCTGACCTTAAGCTATATCCAGTCCTTGCCCTCCTGAAATGAAACTTGGCATCACTAAGTGGTTCCTTAAAGTGCTTCTATTAAATATACAAATTCATAAGTGGATTTAGCAGTTACATGTGTCTCTGGTTCTGAGGAAGGAGGATCTGATGTCATTCTTGAACTTCGGGCATCTAAATGTGCAACACTAGCAAGAAAACATGTCAAAATTCTGCATCCCCGCTTATTAAATGATGGAGGTGCCAACTTTGTCCTGCAGTCCATGTGAGCTACACTGCCACCTGCTGTCCTCTTGTAGTTCTGCTACAAGTAGGAAAGAAGCCGCTCTGACCTTCAGAGGGTACCCTTTGAGACTATATCCTCGGAGGTGGAGAAGAGCAGGGTTAATTTTCACAACCGGTTTTCCTTCCATGGTTTCTGAAACGAGTTCCAGGGTCTTGTAGTCCTCTTTCTCAAATGTGGCAGGACCCTGAGGGAGCAGACAGGGCTAGGAGCTGCCTGACCCACACTTGACCTTTTCGTTGTATGGCGGAGATAAAGTTTGTTCAAAAATGCTCTCCCTGGGTGGGGAGCAGGGAGGAACTTTACTGAAGTCAGCACCGGGTGGAGACGTGAGCGGGCGGGGTCTGAGTGCGCAACAGGCCAAATGCAAATGCGGTTGGAGACGCGAACACTTACTGATGCCCAAGACAGGTGATAGTGCCGCGGTGACCATTGGCTGCTTTGGCCATCGGACGAAAGGGGAAACAGCCGCTTAGGCTAAGCTGGTGGAGAAAGGGCTCCCCGCGGCTCCCTAGCCCACCCGGCTCAGGTGGCTACCTTCGACCTGACTTCCAGCCTGTAATTTGTCTCCAAAGCAAGGTGTTCTAATTAGTAATGTGTTTCATGCTCACTGTGTGCCAGGCAGTTCTAGGCACGTTGTATAAATACATTGCATTCAGTCTTCACAAGAATCTTGCAACAATTTTAAGCCAGTTTTCAACTGGAAAGCTTCAGTTTCCTCATTTCTAAAATGGGCCAAGTCAAGGTATAGGCTCTGGAGGGTTGTGAGGATTACATGAGCTAACGTTTAGCATGCTAACGAGTGCATTTATTTTCCCGTTACATGTGAGTTTTTCCACATTTCAGTTTCTTCAGCCGGATATGGGGATTAATCCCTACCTCCCAGGATTGCTTTGAGGCTTAAAGGACAGGAACAGTAAGGTGAACATCTATGACATAAGGCGCTTCAAGTGTTGTATGTTTTATAGGGTTAGCTCACCGTAGAGGGAAAGTGGGGCAGGAATACGGACAAGCAGTGTGCAGGCTGGGGGCTGCAGAGCGGGGAGAGGTTTCTGAAGGCCCCCAGGTCATGCCAGTCCTGGGCTGGGCTGCCTAAACGCAAAGGTTGGAGGCCAGCCTGGAATTTTTACAGGATTCTGCCCCATTGCTCTTGCAGTGGTATGTTACCTCTTGGGATCCAAGTTTGAAAGGAGGGAAACCTAGATGTTGGGATCCTGGGAGGGGCGTGCGTGCGTGCGTGCTGCGTGCTACGTGCGTGCGTATGCGTGTGTAATCTCCAGAGACAGCTGCCCTCTCTGTGCGCTCCGTGTCGCACGCTGAATGTTCTTCAGAGTTCTAGCTGTAGTCAGTGCGCAGACTCCCCTCGTCATGTCGCTATAAAGGACGGTTGTATCCACTTGGTCTCAGGTTGGTGGCTGCTCCTCCTGCCACCTCCCCTGGACGCACCGTGGTCCCAGGCAGCAGCTGTAGAGATCATTCTGCTGGCTTTTTATTAGATGAAAATTTACCTTTAAGCTGGGCTTTGTAAAAAGTTTTTCAGAAGGTTCTTCAGTAATAATCTGGATTTATTACCTATTTCTTTTTTTTTTTTTTTTT